CCTTGCCGAGCTGCAGTGAGCAGGCTGCTCTGTGTCCTGCTGTGTTGGAGCTAGGCTGGGCAGGTGGGCTCTGACCGTCCCTCGCAGGGCCTGGTGACCAGCCAAGTTCCTGTGCCATTCCTAAGCTGGACGCTCTGCTCCATCGAGCATACATCCTGGGAAGAAACAGTGGTGTGCTCTGATGCTAACCCTCAAAGAGATGAGCTGAGGGACAGAAGCCCTGAGATTGCATCTTTGCAGGATCTGCAACCACAATGCCCCTGTTAATGCAGTGGTAAGAGTTTCCTAGCCAGATATGAGAGGGTTTTTCTGTGCTGCAAGAATTGGCTGTGTAGGTCTTCCCTTGTATCTAAGGCTTGCTGGAAGAGTCGGGTCTCAGTGGCCTCTCTTGTTCCGTCCCTTCCTCCCTGTCTCTGAAGAGTAAGCTATAGAAGAGGAGCCTACTCTGAAGATGTATCTGAGGGGTCTCTCGACTGCTGTGGAGGAGAGAACTCACTGTCCTTTCTGTGCCAGGCCTAGTTCTTCTCCACTGAGACTTTTCAGTTTGCTGAACAGGAAGGGGTGCAACAGCCCTTGCTGGAGAGCTAGTGCAGCACTTTGTCTGCTGCAGCAAAGGACAGAGGGGGGAGGCTGCAGTTTCTGAAAAGGCTGATATTTAAACACCTGCCCTGGTCACGGCTCCTTTTGCTAGCCCAGCGTTTGGGAGGTGCCCTGGCACCAGACAGGGAGAGGGCAGATTGGTATTGAGAGTTCATGGGGCTGGAGCAGGGTTCCTGTTGCTGGGGAAAGCACCTGGACCTACCTGGTACAGACTTCTGACTGGAAAAGCCCCATTGGGCCCCATCACACAGAGAAGAAAGCTTCTCTGTCTACATCAGACGTGTGCTACTGCGTGTCCAGACTGGGCCTGCGCTCTGTGCTCCCTGGGTGGAGGTGTCCTATGGGAAGGAGCACTTCCAATATCAGACCATGCTTTCCCCGTGACATTGCCGGAATGAGAAGCAGGTGCTGCCGTGAGCCTGCGGGAGAGCTTGGGGTCTCTGGCTACTGCTGCTCTGTTTGGCTAGGAGAAGCACCATGCAGGTAGGTGGCTTTTGTTACCTGAGCTTGTTGGAAGACTCTTGTGCCAGCTGAACAGTTTTGTGGTGCATAGGATGTGGGTTAAAAGTGGCCCCCTGGAGTGGCAGAGGACAGGAACCTATGGCTGGATGGTATCACCAGAGGGTTAACTACCCTTGCCAACGAAGTGCTGCTTGGGGGGAGAGGGCTCTTAGTCACCATACTGGGAACCCAAAGAAGGGCTGGGGGCTGAGGTGGGGGGAAGAGAGTCTTCTGTGACTAAATCTAAGAAGCATCTTGCAGACTGTCCAGTACAGGGCTGGCTAGACCTCTATGATGAGAGCACAGTAGCTGTGATGAGTGGGCATGTTTCTAAACCATTGCACAGCGGCTAGCTATCAGAGGTTATCTCTAGCATGTCATCAGGAGTGATGCATACAGTTTGTATATACACACACAAGTATAATCTGGTCCCAGTCACAGCAGTGAAGCCTCCTGTGTATCTAGCCTGGAAGCTGATCACTGAGACTGTACTTAGGGATGCCTTTGGTGTCCCAAATCAGGGTCCTCTCCTGCAGTGCGTGATACAAAGGGTCTGAAAGGAGGTGGGGTAACCCTGAAACCTGCTGCTCAGTTTTCTAATCTCTGATGTACGTTCCCAGCACTGACCGGACATGGACTGTCCCTAGAGAAGAAGGGGTGGAAAAATAACTGGATTTTGCTCCCAGTGGAGGCCATGGCTGGGGCAGATGGCCGTGTCTCCTGAGCGCTGCTAGCCGAAGGCTGTCCTTGCTGTCATCCTGGGAAGCAGGCTCAGAGGGCAGCAAGGTTATGCCGTGCTGCAGTGGCTCTGCACACAACTCAGCCCAAGGCTTGAGTATGGGAAGGAGCCAGGCTCCCAGCTTGGGCTCTCAGCCCTCCAGGAACAGAGGAGGGCCACCCTGCTGCAAGTCTGTCATCCTAGAAGAGCTGTGGCTGCTGTCCCCAGTGTTGCAGTGACAGTGGGACAGGATAGGGGGCTGCTGTCCCCAGTGCTGGCCTACAGCTGTGAGCAGGATGACATCCTGGTCAGGGCACAGACGTGGCCCTCCTGTGCAGTGGGGCTCCCTATGGCAGGGCAGAAACCTTTCCCGTGGAGTGGCAAGTGCAGGTTGAAGTGCTTCTGTCTGGTAACTGCCCCCCTGCCATGCCACAGGATGCCAGCATGGTGCAGGGGGCAAGCCATTGCATGGCAGTGACCCTGTTGCACCTCAGCTCAGGTGGCCACAGCAGCAGTGCAACAGCAGAGCTGAACTTCACAGTGGCTAATGGGATCGCCAGGCAGAGGAAACAAAGCTTTTCTGATCTCATACTTGTTGCTCAGGAAGTGCCAAGCAGCATTGGCTTCTCAATACCTTCTCTGTCCTGGAGCCAAAATGGAGTACTTTGCTGGTCCAGACTGGGGGCAAACACTAGGTTAGTGCTTGAACTTACTGCTGTGACCCCAGAGTCCTCAAGAGAAGAACAACAAAACACAGCGATGTCTGTTCTCTGCTGGGCCCTGCATGGCTGCCCCTATCCCAGGAGCGCTGCCTCTGCCTGTCCTGCTCTGTTGGGACAGGAAACCTCTGTCCTGTGTCTGTGTCTGAAGCATTTGTGTGCACACCACCTTGGCATCTATCCTCAGCTCTTGGGGTCAGTTCCCTGACTGTAGTGCCTGGATGTTTGACTGACACTTTGTTGAGGGTAAAAATGATGGTTTCCTTCTGTGCTGTGTAAATCTGCTGTGTATCATGAGCGTGCCCAGGTAAGTGCGTGTCCAGGCAGAGGCTGTCTGGGGCACCAGGTTCCTAGGCGTCTTTCTGGCTGCCTCCGTAGAGTTGTGTTTATTCTGTCCATCTGTGTGCCTTGCAGGCTCTGAAAAGGAAGCCGGACCTCTTCCTGTGCAGCAACCTGGATGTCAAAGCAGTGTTTCAGTGTGGTGAGTTCCCTGAGCATGGGCACACATGTTATTCATGCAGAGATGTACTCCAGACCCCTCTGCTGAGAAACCAGCCTGCTCCTCCTGCAGGCTTGGGAACAGACCAGCTAGGGTGCCTGGGGTACCACAAAGCTGTTTTGGGAAGGTGTGTGGGGTTTCTGGCTGCTAACCTGAATGCCTTCTGCCCACAGGTGTCCTTTCCCTCAAGTTCCCTGAGGCCCCAACAGTCAAAGCATCCTGTGGCTTTTTTGTGAGTATCGTGGCTTCCTCAGGCATGTTTGTTCATCCCTAGATCATGTAGCATTCCCCCCCCACCCCCACCCCGCAAGGGATATGCTGCTGGCTCTCCAGAGCTGCCAGCATGAGACGCTCTCTCCCTAAGCCTATCCCCTTCCTTCCCTATCCAGCTCAGACCTTTCTAGAAGCCAAGAGCTGGGAGGGCGGAGAGCAGGAGGGAAGTTCTGGGGCCTCTTGTGCACTGGGGGATGCCCCAGACCAAGGTCAGGTGAGGGAGCTGCTGCCCAGAGCCTGCTTTAGCGCTGACTGGCCTGGACTGTGTGTTGCAGACGGAGCTGCTGCCTCGCTGCGGAGAGATCGCCCCGGTGGGACAAGTTGTGCATGAAAATGGCAAGGTGCTGCTGCAGGCTGTGCTGGAGGTGAGTGACACAGGGACCATGGGCTCCTGGGCAGGCCCCTGGGCAGCTCTGAGCTCTGTGCCCAGGGAGCATCCCCTGCAGAGCTGGGGGCAGAGGGCCTGGGAGCGGGGGTGGGTGCAGGCACGATGACACCCGGTCTCCCTGGTTTTCTGAGACAGCGACCACTGCGCTGAGTTTAGCACCCACCAGCACAGGGCTCAGCAGGGTCTGTCTGCTCTGTCGCAGGGCATTGGCGGCCAGGCCTCCCGCAGCCTCATGGATCACTTTGCAGAAATCCTCTTTGCCTTGAATAAGCACTGCTTCAGCTACCTGAGCATCTGGATCAAGGAGGCCATGCAGCAGGATGGCTTCCCCTCGGCCCGCGTCAGCCCTGAGCAGAAAGAGACTTTCAGCCAGCAGATCCTCAGGTTTGTGCGTCCCTCGCTGCTGTGCTGCGGTGGCCAGGCAATGGCTCTGGCCCTGTGGGGTGGGAATAACCCCTGCTGTGAGACTGTGTGCTGCAGTCCCTGCCCCTCCTGCCTGCCTCATGTTTGTCCCCCTCTGTTTGTGTTAGCAGAGAGCGTGTGAACAAGCGGCGAGTGAAGGAGATGGTGAAGGAGTTCACCCTGCTGTGCCGAGGGCTGCACGGCACAGAGTACACAGCAGACTACTGAGCACCTGGCCAGGAATGCGGACAGTTTGCTCAGACCAGCTCTTCCCTGCAAGGAAGCCCCCCATCCTCCCTGCGCTGCTGCAGTACGGCTCGTAGAATAACCCTCCAACTAGAATTAACCCACTCGGGACGCTCCTCAGCTAGAATTGGTGGCTGCATCTTGGTGTCAGCATCTCTGTTCCCCCAGCATGCTCCCCCCTCGCAGGGGACGGGAGTGCCGGCTGCAGGACGCCGGGGGCAGTGGGGAGGGGGAGCCTGGGCAGGACTGCCCCAGCACGGACTGCCCCGCGCTGCACTGCGGCTGGGCTGCCGGCCCTTCCCCAGCACTCTCCCGGGGGCGCCCCCCCTGCTAGTTTGTATGTGTGGTTGGGAGGGGGGAGGCCCTGCACCTAATTATATTAAGGATATTTCTATGTTGTAGCTGTCATTATTGCAGTGCCTAGACTTTGACTGCCCCTTTTCTCTGGGGAAGAGCCCATCTGGAGGGACAAGGAGGAGGTTAAATCAAGTGTTTTGGGGCTCTTCAAAGCCTCCGGTTCGTCTCTGGCTGCAGGAGAGGCAGCAGGAACATGAGTGGAAGCAGCTGTTGGCCCAGGGAATGAGTGGCTGGAGACTACCATGAGGTTGTAACAGACTCAGGGGGACATGGGGGAAAGCACGGGGCTGCTGGCCAGGAGGGCAGAGAGGGCACTGCTCTCCAGGGCCTGTGCTCTGCTCCTGTAGGGAGCAGACAGGAGCAGACTGTGCTGCCCAGGGATGTCCTTCTGCTCAGGCTGCCCTGCAGCTGGGCTCTGGTGTGGGGTTGTAGACACAGCTCCCTCAGCTGAGGTGCTGTCCCTGCTGCAGGCTGGTTCGGCCTAGGACAGGTCCATCCTCCTCCTTGGGGTTATAAAGCACAAGGGACAGGGAACTCTTAACTCTTTCCTTAGGCCCACCCTTGTCAGCAGCTCTCCCTCAGGGGTCCAGAAGCAAGACAGGGGATTGCAGGACCAGGACTAGCACCAGCAGCTGCCTGCCCTAGCCGTGCATTGCTTCCTCTGGGGTGCGCTAGCCTGCACCAGGCAAGGTGAGGAGGCAGGAGCTACCCGGAGCTGGTGGCTGTGCCCTGCCTGCAGTGCTGGCTCTGGCTGCTAGCCCTGCAGGAGGCGCCAGTGGGCACATGAGGCGCATGGGCCAAATGCAGACTGGAGGAGTAAGCAGAAGCAGTTCTGCCCCACAGGCAGGGCCACAGACTCCCGTCCCTTTGCACATGGGAGCCTCCCTGCAGCACTGACTGGATGTACCCCAGTCCTGTTCATCACAGCAGCTGGGGGCTTGTTCACACCTGCAGCCCCCTCTATGTAATCTGCTTTAGTTTCTTAGCAGGATATGCTAGTGGGCTCTCTCTTTTCAGGGGTTCCCAATTACTCTTTCTGTTCTCTTCGACTGGTTTTACCTAATTCATAAGGCTGCACTCCTGTGGCAAGTGCTGTGATCTGTGTTTTCACCCTGGACCTCTGATATCACCCCAAGTCTGCATTCTTCAGCCCATGTTTTATGCTAGAAGACAGTTCACGCATAACAATGCTCCTTTTAGTTCAGCTTTAGTTAATAATAATAACCAGAGAAGCCCCAACTCCTGGCCCTGACAGCTCAGTGCGAGACTTGTGCCTTCTTCCCAGTAGTGCCGAAACTCCTATTGACTAGGTGATGGAGTGAGCCCCTGGAGGCCAGGTCTGGGCCAAGCGCCTTGTCTCAGCCCTGCTGCTGCCCTGGCTGTGGTCCCCAGCATGCTGTGGGCGTCACTGAACGCACGTGCACCTCCTGCTCTCCCCCACTGGGGTGCTACAGGCTCCAGGGCTGCAGCCAGCACAGGGCCAGCTGGAGGCAGCTTCCCTGCCCTACCTGGAACAAAGTCCAGACCCTCCTTAGATCCTCGCAGGTCCAACACCCTACATCAGGACAGGTCCAGGACCTTCCATGTGGCACTGCCCTGCTCCTGGACGGGTGCCCACGCTGCTGCAGCATCAGGGTTCCTCGCGGCCCTCATCCTCGTAGGCGATGGCAATCCCTCGCCGGCCCTGCACGGCCTTGGAAATGGGTGTCTTCCCCAGCTGCTGCTCCAGGCCCTGCCAGCTGCGGGACTCCAGGAAGGAGGCTGGGAGGGGAGAGAGGAGGGAGCTGTTACCAGAGAGCAGGGAGGCAGCACTGCCCCTGTGCTGCT